TTTTAATGGAGGGAGCCGTTTCCCTGCCCTTTCCCACCCACCACCATCTGCCAGCAGGTTGACGTTTACCTCGTCCTCTCCTTTCTGTTTTTTGGCACGTCCCCTAGAGCAGGGCAGAGCTGGACAGAAGAAATAAATGTAAAAAAAATAGTAATAATAAATAAATAAATAAGCACTTAGCGGTTATGATTTGGGAATATGCAAAATGGAGATGAAAGGCTAAAACAGTTTCTTAGAAGCAAAGTCTTCCTTTAAATTGGAAATTAATAAAATCAAATAAATTAATTTCTGACCATCCTTAGCGCTGAAAAAGATAACATTCAAATTCTTGATCTCAAAGCCATCGAAAGTTTATTCTTCAGTAAAAGGAAGGTGGCTTCCCAGTTTAATCCGCAATCTCACCTAATTTAGTTTGTGCAAAATCCACTTTCTTGATTGGCTCAAGTAATTATTTGCCAAGTAAGACAAAGCAGGAGGTTTTAAATCCACGACAGAGCCAGGTAGAAGCATCAGAACTTGAGGCAATGAATTTCCTATCCGATTTGCAAGACTGCAGTAACAAAACTTTTTAGGGTTAGAAACAAAACCAGAATTTTTTTGGAGGGGGGAAAGAGAAGATGCCTATATCTTTTTACTAGGCAATCAGATTTTAATGATAGCTAGGAGAGTTAGAACATTAGATATAGCAAATGTAATCTAAAAAACTACAGATGTTTAAGTCAGGATCAGAATGAATCCAGAGTTTGTATTTCCTCCGGTATCTGATATTCCATGAGATATTTTTTTTTCTTTAAATCGTGACTTGAAATTGAGTGGTGGACCAGTAGGACAGCTGAGCAAAAAAAGTGCTCATGGTACAGATGTGCTCTACTAGGGCACAGCCAAGGTGAATTTTGGCAGTAAGCTTGTACATTATAGACAATAATTTACACGGCAAATGCATGTAATGACACAGCAGCAGGGCTGTACTACCCAAGTGCTAGCAAGGTTTTATTCATCCGAACAGAACACTAATATGACATTTATAACTTGTTTAAACGCATATTGGGAACTTGGGATTTGCTAAGACAGTTTTTATACGTACCCTGTAGTCAGCTGTGGCAGCTTGTCATCCTCCCCTTCTTATTCCTCCATTGTTTAGTTTTCGGTTTCTGAGATTCCTTACCCATATTTCTTTTCACTTAAGAACTGAGCACAGAAGCACACAGTATAACACCATTTCTTATGTATTCTTCTGACGTAATTTACCAAAGATAATAATAATGCAAGTACTTCCCATAAGGCTACTACAAGTTTTTGTGTAAGTAAAGTTCATTCAAATGCTGAATCATGATGATGTCATCTATAAAAGTCTGCGGTTTGTTGGGGTTTTTTTAAATTTACATCAAATTTTACTTTTTACTTTACTTACTGTACGTAGTTTGAAGAACAACCCTATAGCGTAGCATATACCCAGTATCGGTGCACCCAGCAGAAAAATGCATTCAGTGAACATCAGGATCAGGTTGCAAGGGAAGTTCTCTGAACCTTCCGCAACAGGTAGCTGTAATTCCAACAAGCCTCTAAAATCTCCAGTTTGTGCTATTATTTCAATACCCAACATTTTTATGACACTGCTATTACTACACAGCTAATAGCTTAGTTTAAAAGCATACCTTGAACTATACGTATCAACTCAGAAGAGTCTCAGATCTTACACGTTCTGTGCTGCAAACAGCATATAGCTGAAAGAAAACTGAATATGAAAGAGCAAGTTTTATCTGAAAACTTACCATATATATATATATTTTAAATACAATGATCACTTCTGGACCTAATTTTGTCCAGGTATAAAAAAGAGGCTCAAATATTTTATACTCATTTTAAGTCTGTGATAGTGGTTTGCTTTTTAGTATGTTTCCTGTATGATTGGAGCTTTACATATGCAAACAACTAAGTTACATTACCAGCCACTCCACCATACCTTTATGTTTGGGGTTTGTTTTTTTTTTTCTCCTCCTGTTGAGATATGGGATAAAGGCTAGTCAATACCTCCAATACAAGCAGCTTAATGGAACCTGAAACAGTCTCGACTTTTGAAAACCAGAGATGCGTGGTTTGCATGTACTCCACCCACTCTACTGCATTGGTACACAATGGGAGTGTCATGACTTGCCCAACAACCCAGTTTCAGTAGGTAAGTTGTTAATAAGAGTGATTAATTCGATATGCAGTTTGAAAACAAGAGGAAGAAAAAAAAAAAGCCACACTAATGCATAAATGCCTGTACAAACGCCAAACTGGGCAAAAGGGCCCCGAGTAATTCTGTTTGGTTGGCATACACAAGTGCAGGACGCTTGAAGACACTTAGCCTTGTCATTTCTAGCCTCAGAGTCAGAAAAAAAACCAAACCTGGCACTTCCAAGCTGACTTGTAAAAATCAAAATATTTTCATTTTTACTGATAAGCTTTATTACTAGAATTGTAATTTAAAAAAAAAAAAAAAGTCACCAAGAAAAGAGTTCTCACCCCTCAATACACACTGGTGCAGCCAAACAAGCCAACCAACCAAAAAAAAATTCCCCAAAGAAAATGCACAGTGATGTTATTTAACAAGGAGGAGACTGACAGAATGACAGAAGCAGGAGCCTGCTTTTAATCAATAGATTAGAAACAGAAAAAAAAAAAAAAAAATGTTGGAAAGGACCTCTGAAGGGCATCTGCTCCACCACTCTCCCTGCTCCCTCAGAGAAGGAGATCCATTGAAGCTGGATCTGACTTTGGAGTTAGCAGGTTGCTCAGTTTAGTTCTGAAAATCTCCAAGGACGGAGATTTTACAACCTCTTCCAGCAATCTGTTCCTGGGTGTGATAAAGTTCCTTTTTAGCTGTACTTTTAAAATTTGTATGAAAGAACTTAAGATGATATTGTGATACTAAAGTCGAAAGAGTAACTAAGCTAGTACAAAGAGCTCATAATATACCAGTAGGAAGTGGATAACGCATTATTTATATTAGTCATCATCATGCAATTGAATGAAAGTCTCTAATAGCTTAATACCACAAGAATGGCTCACTTAATTTTTTTATTAGTATTTTTCCTATACCTAAAAGCTATTAGAATACCAAAAGTCAAGAGTTTGGGATTATATTTGAGTAAAGCCCAGTATTATTAATAAACCTAAGTCTAATCAGACCACAGCTCTCCCCACTTACAGGTGCAGAACTGTGACTATGAAAGTAGATTTTCTTACTACAATGCCTGTCATACAAGTGACTAAAACAATTTATCACCTTGTGTAGTACATAAAATGAGAGACATGAACAAACCAAGATACAACAAACTTGCAAGTAAATACTACACAGCGTGTTCTCAGGTAATGGAAACCATTTATTCTTTATGCTCCAGTGAAGATTCACGAGCACTGAA